AGTTAATGCATGTGGGACGAGTGTGACATTGCAGAACTTAATAAGCGTTTGCCTTACATCCCTGTCCTCTGTTCTTCCCTTCCAATGTAACAGATCTCACGGTAAACTCCCAGCTAGAGACATAAATGGTGTTTGTCGCAGGGGGGCACCGGCTATAGGCTTAGCTAATAAATCAGCATAACTACTGCATGTTCCAATAGCTTCAGACAGCATTTCTAAGCTGAGAGTCGTCTGTGCTGGTCCCTCTAATTTAAATGCAGGAGGAGCCCGAACTCTTTACGCTATAATCAGTAACGAACAGTGAAAAATGGCCCCTGCGGTTTTCCCCTGAAAAGGTCGCTAAAGGTAAAGAAGAAAGAAAGGCCGGCGTCTCCCTCCTCTGAGAGCTAATGGAGCCTTTCCGGAAGAAGGGGGCTCTCTTAATGCAGCGGTCTGCACGCAGCCTAAATGCCTCTCTGTCTATTGACATTTCGGGCCACATGAGCTCAGCCGCGCGGCTTCTGGCCGCCTCGCTCCGGAGCCTCCGCTGCCTCCGCTGTAGCTCTGCCCCGCGCCCCCTATCCTGCTGAGGCTAAAAGGCACCTTTTATTCCCGAACTCAGAAAGGCACGCTGATGGGATCCAGGTTCACGCGGAGAGATTTTGATGGTATGTAACCGCATACCTGGGCAGAGCCGCAGGGAGCAGGCTGGCCGGTTTGCAGGCTCTCGCTGGCCAGGTCATTGCTGCTTTCCAGCAATGTCACACTCACGCGGTTCGCCAAAATGTGCCCGGCAGCCTGGCACATTGTTCCTGCTACCCCTGCAGTGCATCATGGGAAGGCAACTGCGACATCACGTCGCTCCTGTTAGAAATAAACAAAAACACCAGGAAATGTTTTCAGAGACAAGTGCCGAAGAAACGGAAAAGCTGAAAAGAACAGCGACATTTCAGCTAAACTGGAGCATCTGGGCATTAAAACAAAAGTCAATTCCAGTTTAAAAATGGACAAGATTTCCATAAGAGAAAGTTGTCACGTCTTCAACTTGTACCGGCATCCTGTCCAGCCTGTAACCCAGCCTGGACTGTTGGAGGTTTGCTACACAGCCTTCCACAACCCCGACTAAGACAAGTGGCCAGAAGACAATGTCTGTAATGGAGCAGAAGCACTGAATCATTTAAAAATAACACATCTGAGGGAGACCCCAGGCTTTGGCCAGGTCTGAACAATAAGCTCAGCTCTCTGCATTATTAATCAATCCCTTTATGACTTCACCTGCAAAAACACATATTCAGCCAACTCCTTGTGGATTTGAAAAACACAATCCTCACATTTTGCACAGTGCATTTTTTATCAGTTTAATGCTTCACTTCTAAATCTCTAAATGGATTTGCACCAACTATATTTGAAGATTCTCACATAATCTGCCTGGTTGGTTTCTTTGGTGCCGCCCAGCTTTTGTTCATTAGGAAGACAAAAGGCTCTCGCTGCAGCTTTTATTTCATGGATCTACATGCCTGCTGGGATGCAACCACAAACTTTTAATACAGAGTAAAAACACAGCTATTTGTTTTGTCCTCTGTATATAAGAGTTACTGACTGGAAGATAGATCGCGACAATAGAACGTATAGACATTAGTAGTTACTACTAATGGCCTCAGAGAAAACATCTATGCATTTTTGTTGCTCGTTCTTCAGTGCCATCTCTATATTGAGCTCACGGACGACTGATTATGGCCAAGCAGCAGCCTTCCAGTAGGTTCCATGGCATGGTGCACTGTCATATTCTTCTTCCCATGTCTTTGCATTAAAGAAGCAGGTGACCCGTCCCAGGTGACCATAACCCCGACACCAGGTTTTTAGTTGCACACTACAGATACACTGGAATTATACACTGCACACTACAGATACACTGGAATTAATAAATGATGATTCATCTATCCTGCTCTGTCACTGTAAGGTCAGCTAAACAGCATGGTGTGGAAATTTTCTTGAGGAGAATGTTATGTTATTGATTGCTTAAAGATCGTTATACATGAAATAGTTGCTACAGTATTACAGTCATACACATTCCAGGCTGACTGGTGAATTCAGTAATAAATTACTAAAGGCCTTGTTAGTCAGGACTGGTTCATTGGCATTACCAGAAATTGCCCTTGCTGGTCCTGGTCTGTAATACACTGCATTACAGTTGTGCAGTGTCATACATACCGGTCTGTAATTCACTGCATTATAGTTGTGCAGTGTTATACATACCAGTCTGTAATAAAATGCATTACAATTATGCAGTGTCATACATACTGGACTGTAATTCACTGAATTATAGTTGTGCAGTGTTATACATAGCGGTCTGTAATTCACTGCATTACAGTTGTGCAGTGTTATACATACTATGAGATAAAGCAGTTGGGGGAAATCTAAAGTTTACCCACTGCAACTCTTTTAAAGTCCTTCACAGGTACATAATGAAAATCAGGCTGGGAAACTTCAGCAACCTGAAAAAACCCGCGACCCAGCCTGCATTCCTCTTAAATGCTTTTTTTTCTAAACTCTTAGAACCAGTGAAGTGACGCTAAAACCACTTCTGGAGTCTGCGTGAGGATGAAGAAAGGGAAGCAATTATCTGCGGAGAGCCGTGCAACAGAAAGCGATAAACACTCAGCGACTGATAGTGTCCTGAGCTACTGGCGTGAAGATAGATGACAAAGTTTCGCTTTGTGGGTATTTACTGAGTGATGTGCTCTCCCTGCAGTCCAACCCTCCAGGCTTGGTGTGACATGGGGGCTGGGGGCTCGGGGATGGGGGGTGGGGGGTGGAGACAAGCACCTGGACTCGGAGATGGACATTTAATTTTGGTATTGAGGCCCAAAAGCAGCACTTCGGAGAAGCGGAGTAGGAGACTGACTGTAATCGTACTGATACTGCTGAAATTGAATCGCTGTGTGGAAACTGTATTACAACACAGTGATAATAGTGTTGTTATTGGAGAATTTGTCATCCGGCTGCCAAGCACCTAAAAGAGAGAAGCCAAAAAAATATATATATATACTCAAAAAAAGAAAATTCAAAAAATAGGACATTGCTGTATATTTGAACTGGCAAAAATGTATACATGCAAATATAAACTCCTTCAACTTCACCATAAGATTGAATCATCCACCCATCCATCCATCCATGTCGAATGCAGAGTCGTTGCTTGGAGTCTGTCCCTGGAGGCTCAAGGCACAAGGCTGAACTGGACACGAGAACAATTACATCACAAGTAATTCTGGCCAATGTTGTTTGTGCATAGAAAAATCTGAATGATGTTTCTTTTCATCTGTTATCACCAAACTCCATTGTTAAATAGCTAACAAAATATAACAAGCAAATAAATAAGCTGCCTAATTAGAAAAGGAATTAACTTGGTGAGACAGAAATTAAATTGTATGGTGAATCTCTTAATTAAATGGCAAAATAACGTCTTCAGTCCGCAATGGAGATTTCAGTCATCAATGACTGAATCCACCCAGCAGAAATTCGCTTGTGCATAAATAGATTACAGGAAAGCAATGCAGCAAGCATAAAGCAGGAACAAACAAACAAACAAACAAACAAACAAACAAACAGACCATTCCGCACAGCACAAGCAAATGACTAACTGAACCCAAGACCCAGGCACTGTGTCCTTTTAAATGAGAAGATTATACAATATGGCGATATGTTATCTTTCACAAGCCATTCATCGCGTACATTCAACAATCCTGCGATTACCTCAGGGAAATTATTTACAGCGTGAGGTCTGATTACCAAACACACCCTTATGGAAATTATTAACTGCAGAATGTCTGATTATCAGACCCACCTTTATAGTAACTATTTACCACAAGCTGCCTGACTTTACATTTATCTGTGGGATAAATAAATTCTTCTATTTACTCTTCTTCCACTGTGTCCATCTTATGTTTTGCGAGCAGAATGGGGAGTCGTCAGCCAGTGAATGCAAATGCACATTAAATGCATTGTGGTTAATAACAAGCTAGAACATCTGAACTGGGGTGAGGTGAGATAACTGCTTGTGTGAACTGGTTCCAGATGCGGCCTTGCTTTCATCTTGAATACAGCATAAGGGAACACAAAGTTCTTCTTGGCCTGCTTTCTTGACCAAAACTACTTCTATCCATCCATTTTCTGTAACTGTGTTAACTATTCAGGATCACAGGTGCAAGGCAGGGAACAACCCAGGATGGGGCACCAACCCATGACAGGGCACACTCACACCAGCAAATTGAACCCTGGTTGCAGATTTTTGAGACAACAGTGCTAACTACTGCACCCCTTTGCCAGCCCAAACCAAAACTACTTCATATCATAAAGAGCTTCAGATAATGTAGAAGACCTTCTTGATATGTCTTTACAGTTAAAAATGAAAATGATTCAACAGTCCTCAAGGACAGTTAAGGCGAGGTTTGGTGTGTGGCTCGGTGGGTTAGGACTCTCGTGTGTCAAGGTTAGTACTGTCTGACCTGGTTCCTCATGTTTCTTCCCTGTTTGGCCAGTAGATGTCACTGGCCATCCTGTCCTCTGTTATTCAGTCCTTCACCCTTGCGTGTTCTTCCTACTCCATGGTAGCTGCATAGCTCAGTGGGCTAAGCATGCAGCTCTGCGATTGAGGACCTGTTGGCTACACATTCAAACCCTGCTTAGATCTGGTCTCTCCTGCTTAATTTTCTTGTTGGTCTTTTATTCTCTGTGTTTGTAGTTTTGGATTTTCATTCCCTAGTGTTTGGGAGGGTTCTGTCTCAGTTTTTCCACAAGCAGTTTGCCCTCCTCATGCTCTGTTCTAGTTTGCATCTATTTTTGGATTCTGTGATTAGTTTTGCTTTGTATTCTTAGCGTCTGATTAAGGTCTTCTAGTAGTCTGTTAAGTTCCCTAGTTCTGTGATTACCTCTGTTCATTGGTTCCACCTGTTGCCTTGTGTTCTCTGTGATTGGTTGATTAGTTAATCAACCAATCAACAAGCTAGAACATCTGAACTGGGGTGAGGTGAGATAACTGCTTGTGTGAACTGATTACTCCTGTGTCTTCATTAGCCCAGGTTAGTTTGGTGTATTTAGGTTCCTTTCTGTGTTTAGTGAGTCATTCTATGTGGTTCTGTAGGTGTTATGTGTGTGTATTTCTGGGTTACTTTGTTACTAAACCCCTTGTGTTCATGGAGCTGCCAGTGTATAGTCACCTTCTTTATGCCTGCGCCATGCCATGATTAGAAGGTTGTCGATTCAAATCCCAATGGCTCTGTTGGGCCATTGAGCAAAGCCCTTAACCCCCACAGAGTGATGTCACCGTTGGGCCCCTGAGCGAGGCCCTTAACCACGATTGCTCGAGGGACTAGCTGAACCTGAGTTTCCAAGTGTACGTTGCTTTGGGTGAAAGCGCCTGTAGGCGTGTGAGCACATGACCTAACTGGAATCTGCAGCTCACACTGGCCAAAAGGAGACACATACATTTCAATCTTTAAAAGATTTATGTAGCCATTGAGTACCAAGTACAATCATTTAATGATGTATGTGTCAATTGATTTGATATGGCCAGTGTTACCAGCAAAACCTCTGTCTTTAATTAATGTTAGCTTCATGTAACTTTTCCAAGGCTGATTTTAAATCTTTGGCATGGATCACGGCTTAGGCGCATGGCCCTTTAAAAAAAATACGTTCTGGTTCTATCTCAGAAGGACATCCTGGACAAAAAAACCACGAGAAAAAAATTATTTAAAAAACTCAAATAGGCTCTTGCTCATTTATCATTATATCGGTCTGTTACAAATGCACATTTCTTCAATTAATCCCCAGAGTATCTCCTAATAACCAATGAGACTAAAATAGTTCTTTTTGCAATTTGTCTTGGCAGGAGGCATCATTCCAAAGTGTTTTTTAATGTAATGTCAAGGGAATTAATATGCAAACACCTGCGTTTTAAGGCAGGGGCCAGGGGGCGGGATGCTAGGACTTAAATTGGATGTAAAGTGAATTACAGTTATTATTGCACAAGACAAAGCATTTAAATTGCCTTATTGTGAATTAGCCTGCATGTGAAAATCAAGGACAAAAGCTCAGGCATTATAAGACACTCCTCAAAACGTTGTCAAAGATGTGTTTTTTCAGTGGGCTGTGCTGTCATAGTTTGATTGGTTTAAAATCTCCCTCTGTGTTTCACTGCTGTAATTACAACTGTCGTCCTGCCACCTCGGGGTCAAGTTAACATGGTGGCAAGATGAAGCACAAAGCAGCTGTAGAGTGTTTAATTTTTCTTGTAACTTTACAATTTATGCTGTTACCCGTGTTGCATGTGGTATGTTTCAAAACACTGCATCTGATTTTAAAGTTGAATACCTGAATACAGTTAGAATTTAGTTTATGCAATTTGGTTTAACTTAAAGAGGATAAAAGATATTAGAAGCTGACCTTGTTATTGGCATCAGCAAGTTCTTTGTAATTAAAATTTTCCCCGCCGCTGGTTGTCAGTGGTCTCACTGGCTCTGATGTTCCCAGCCCCTACTGCTTACTGGTTAGATGGTCTTGTTTACTACGGTTAATGTGAAAGCTTAAGGATGACTTACAAGCAGCTGTCTACAGGGTTACTAGTGTACTCAGCTCTGCTGTACTAATCACATACAAATCTCCCTAATTACGCCTTGCTGTCAGTTGCTCCCTCCAGCTATCTGTCAGTTGTTGAAACATTTTCTTTAATGGCTGTGGCTTATGGGCATCAGTGTGTGAGGGTGGGGGGCATGCTGTAATATTCATGATATACAAGCCCAATATAATCTTCCCAACTCTTTGTTGTATCAAAAAGAAACATCCTTTTGGGGGTTAAACATCCTTGAGTGCTTCGTCAAGTCAATCCAAAATTATTCATTGCAGGTTGTGGTGACCTCCCTCTTCAAGAAGCGAAAAAAAAACCGGCGTGTCAGAAGTGAAAGAGAAGCAGGAGGACCTTGAACGGGAAGGGGCCCCTCCCCCACACCGAGCCGGCTGGCGTGTCCCCACAGTGTGCGTGCTGGAGAAGGAAGGACGGGAGAAGCGAGGAGAGCCAAAGATCATTTCCAGAAGCGTCACAGCCGCCCAGCCACCGCTTGGCGGGTTACGGCGTACCAGCCTCTGCCTACTGCTGCTTATTCACCGTAACGATGTTAATGAGACAGTCTGGCCTCGCTGTGCCTTCATTACCGATGCCACACGACTGACGTAGTCCTTACACAGGACAGGAAGGTCATGCGAGGAATGCAGACAGTGAAGCGGACCCTCCGAGAGCCAAGTGGGAATTATTTGCCAAACATTTTGGACAACATCGGTAGCAACTGGCTTTGCGGTGCACCATGCAGTGTGATTACAAATGACTCAACGGGACCGTCTGGTAAACAAAATGAAAGAACTCGCGCGCACAACTTTGAAAGCTTCGGTGTTGTAAACACTGACTGCCAAGCAGCCGAAGTTATCGGGCCGATAGCCAAGCGAAATTCTGTGTTAATGTGAGAGGTTTAACTTTTCAATGTTGGCCTACAGCCAGAGATGGACAGACTGTTTGGAAAAGTGAAAAATAAAACCATTCTGACGAGGATAGCTTGTATTTTTTTTAAACTACAGGGACATCTGCTGTGCTGCAATGAGAAACATCTTAGAAGAGCATTACAATTACCCAGGTCCAACTGTTAACTCCACCTTAGCACTTGGTCTTACAGGACACTGACCTGATTGCCAGCAGAGGCTCAGAGTGGCACTTCCTGCCTGTACCCCCGGGGGATTAAGATGCCAATATGAAGGCAACAGTGGAGTCGCACACTGTGTTTCTTCTATTGCTGTGTTTTTTTTACATGCTAACTTCTGGAACCTTCTATTGCATTATTCATCTGATTTAGGCTTGACGAGTTAAAAAATAATGAATCCCCTCGGTATTCTGCATTTACACTTTACATTATACACTCTATAATGTTACGGAGCAGCTGATCCTGCTGACGCTATATTTTTAGCGATATGCTTCGGTGAAACGTACCTCTCAGGATCTGAAGACAATGAGAATGTATAGTATCACATATTAGGGGCATTCTTGCGTTTTTGTTCCAATAGGGTACAAAGTTGTGTCATCTCAGGATAATGTCCAACTAAAGCAACCTCTCACAGATGTGTTAATAAGCCAACAAGCTACCAGTCAGTGTGGCGACAGGATTTAAATGGCATCATTATTTACACGGCGAAACACAGTTGCATAACATCAGGTACTTTTTGTCCTGTTCTTGCTTCAATAATTATCTGTAATTAATATGGGCAAAATAAATTAACAACAAAGACGATGGGACTACTCGGCACTTCAAAGGTATAAATTACATTTTAAATTCAATAGCTGCAGTCAAGATTGATCATATAACAGAATAAAATCCTTATGGTACAGTTTGGTCCTTTACACATTAATACAAAATGATATTTGACACATGAATTCGCCCACAAAGTGTGAACCATTTATGAGTGACTCATCATTTAGTTTTTTTTTTTAATCAGGTTATGCAGTAAAATGAACTTAGAAGAAGATATAGGACTCTACATTTTACACCCGCCTCATGTTTGCTGACACACTTTTCCCGGCCAGCACGCACTTGGTTTAAATAGCAGATTTAAACCATGCGTCCGTCTGAGCGCCCGTGGGCGTTGGTCTTAAAGTGAAGTCGCTGGGGCGTCTCTGTTTACACGCAGCGGAAAGCAATCGCGTTTTTGACCAAGAAAAATCTGGTCCAAAGTCAACGGCACAGTATTTCACCGTTATTTTAAGGGCTTGTTATAAAGTCAGCGACACGCATCTGAATGGGCACCGGCATGGAGCGCGCACGCTGCCTGTTACGCCCTCAGGGACGCAGCGTACACCGGAGATGGGGACTGGAGCCGCATTCGAGTTGCTCTTAAATTGACTTCTGACTCGACTCAGCTCGTTATTTTTTGACTTGGACTCGACTCCGATTCGTTGATAGTGTCTCGTGAACAATAAGAGTCTTTAAGGCTCTGCTGAACTCTCTACACATGCGAAGCATTGAGTGTGCGACTCGTTAAAGACATGATGGTGCGTGACGTCAGGTGACATCGGGAAACAACACGCGGACCCAATCTGACGAAGCGCAGGATATCCCGAATGTGATGCCGAGTTTTATTTTACATTAGAAGGCACTGCTTAGAAATAGGCGTTGCTTAACCTGTATGGTAAATTATATAAACATTGTGTTATACAGTGATATGGATTGGCATAGATCGCCATAAATCTAATAATTTAGCAGGTATATTCCAAAAACGTTTCTGACATTCCCATCCAAGTCAAGCTGTATTTTCTTACCACTCAGAAAGCGCCCGCACCTCTTCATTGTACCCCGAGTACGACGTGTAGTGGTATGTCTTAAATTATTTGTAGCTTTGTCACGCGTTCAATTTTAACTGTTTTTAATAAAGTAAAAACAGAACGCCAGCAACTAATTCGATTGAACAGTAATATCACTGACCGCTTTCCCGTAACTAAAAGAGCGGCACGACTGCACACATTAATTTAACTTTTTAACACGGAGTTTGTGGTGTTACTTGCATAATCATTTAACTGCACACACACACACACACACACACACAGTCTGACAGGCTTTCAGCACAGCAGTTTGTGCATACATGTATGGTCCAAATCATTAATTTATGCCAAAATTTCCTGAAAGGGATGTCTTCATCATAATGTTATTTTTGAGAAAGTCTTAGTTTTAAAATCTACATGATATACATTGGGAAAGTGCTTAGGTCCAAAAAATGTATTGCTTCAAAGGCATTTGAAATAGTATTTACTTTGAAAATGTATATAAGCTCAAAGGAACTATGAGGCAGCAATTTTTAACTGTCTGTGTGTTGATTCCTATTTAGTCACATCAGTTACTAATAGGGAAAAACAAATAGGTGGTTAAATTTTTGATAAATATTAATGTCAAATTGGAACCACGTTGAAGACTTGAGACTTGACTCAGACTCTGTTTTTGTAACTCATGAACATCTGTGGCACAAAAGACTAAAAATAAAAAGATCAGAATGCAAAAGATTAAAACATTAAAGTTTACATCAAAATATTTTAAGATACATGTCATAAGGGTTAGTCATACTATTAATCAGAATTAGCTAATTGAACAGGACTAAGTACAACCATGCATCTGGTATTGCGGCTATTTGTCCACCATTAAACTAGCAGAAGTAGGTTGGCCAAACCCTAAAGAAGTAATCGCCATGTGCTTCACACTGTGCGATTCAGATCGTTAAAATAGAGCCCATATAGTTTTCCTGATGCTATAATCATGTAAACAGACCACACTGGCTTCTCCAGTCTTCACATGGATATTGCCAAGATGAAACAAGGAAAACGGTGTTTCCACTCGGAAACATGATTGGAACTTGGCCTTGAGGCCAAGACATGTTATAATCGTCCACTATAATGCCGGAAGGAGAGCAGGGCGGTTATGATTGATGTCTACATCAATAAATCTGGGCACAATTCTATTTTCAAATACAGAACTGCCAACTTGCTGTCTTTTCATCACTATGATTTTTTCATGAGCGAACAAAAAAAAATGTCTATATTTTTCAAAGTCTAAGAAGCCCTCTAAACTCAAAAGGAACCCTTGAATGCTTTATACATACCCAACTTCCAGATGCCACAGAGCAGCAATGCATCTATTAGACCAATTATAAAACAGTCAATATATCACAGATATATGAACAAACTTGTCTATTTGTTTTTGAGATATATTTGAAAACATAGCTGACAAAAATCCATTGTTGATGAATAAACCGAACCCTTCACCCTGGTTTGCTGACCATGCTGCTGTAATTTATCATAACCTCAAGTGGTGAGTGAATGAGAAAAAGGATATTGTTGATTGCATGTAGGCAGTTAAATTTGCTGATTATACTGACAATGTCAAAAACAAAGAGAACATATTTCCAAATGCTGAAGAGCGCTGGGCTGCACGGGCTCACATTCTGGGGTAGAATGGTGGGTCTGGAGCCAGCCCCCCGAGGTCAGAAACGCAGTGACAGTTGCATTTGTTTCCGATAAATTAAAAACAAATCTGGCCATTTGGTGCCATGCCTGCTAAATTGAAAAGTCTAATCATAGCCTTCCTGACTGGAATCACGGCCTTCCTGACTGGAATCATGGCCTTCCTGACTGGAATCATGGCCTTCTTGGATAGAATCATGGCATTCCTGACTGGAATCACGGCCTTCCTGACTGGAATCATGGCTTTCCTGGATAGAATCATGGCCTTCCTGACTGGAATCATGGCCTTCCTGACTGGAATCATAGCCTTCCTGACTGGAATCATGGCCTTCCTGACTGGAATCATGGCCTTCTTGGATAGAATCATGGCATTCCTGACTGGAATCATGGCCTTCCTGACTAGAATCATGGCCTTCTTGGATGGAATCATAGCCTTCCTGACTGGAAACATGGCCTTCCTGACTGGAATCATGGCCTTCTTGGATAGAATCATGGCATTCCTGACTGGAATCACGGCCTTCCTGACTGGAATCACAGCCTTCCTGACTGGAATCATGGCTTTCCTGGATAGAATCATGGCCTTCCTGACTGGAATCATGGCCTTCTTGACTGGAATCATGGCTTTCCTGGATAGAATCATGGCCTTCCTGACTGGAATCATGGCCTTCTTGACTGGAATCATGGCTT